ACAAAAATCTAAATTACTCTCCTGACTTCAAACACTACTGGAAACATAGCATGAGTTATGACTCTATACCAGTGAGGGCTTCCCAGAGAAACAGGGCCAACAGGAGATAGAGATTTGTTTTAAGGAAATGGCTCATATGACTGTGGGGGCTAGTCCAAAGTGTACAGGGCAGATTGACAGGTTAGAAACTTGAGTATGAGTTGCTGTCACAGACTTAAGGCAAAAGTTCTTTTCTTTTTTGTAAGTTGTAGATGGGCACAAAACCTTTATTTTATTTTTTATGTTTATGTGGTGCTAAGGATTGAACCTAGTGCCTCACACAGGCTCGAAAAGCACTCTACCACTGACCTATAACCCCAGCTCCACAAAAATTCTTATAAAGTTACCAGTCAATGCATATTAGGATCCACCTCAATCCAGAATGATCACATCTTAATTTCACATCTGCAAAGACCTATTTCCAAATAATGTCACATTCACAGATACTGAGGGTAATAGGGTACGCCGTCAATATATTTTTGGGTGAAAACTCAATCCAAAAGAGATTCCACTTTATTTTTTGTCTCATATAGATGGGTGTCTGGTTGGCCTGAGTCACTTATTTAGTAACCTTTCCTTTCCTCTGGAATCTATGTGGTGGATGTCCTGGGTCGGCTTCTAGGTTCTCTCTTCCATTTGGATGGTCTAATGTTGCATTCCTGAGCAAATAACCACACTGAATAAATACCCAATTACTAGGATTTCTAACAAGTCTGGATATCTGGTGGGATAGGGCTTCTATTTTTTTTTTCTTTTTTCTTTTTTAAGGCTGTCTAGTCTTTTCTAAGGCCTTTGCTTTTCCATATATATTTGGGAAATATGTCAATTTTCCCCCACCCTCAAAAAAAAAGGTTTGGTGGGAATTGTACTGAACCTATGGACTACACTCATCTTCCTGGAAGCCTTCCTTCCTCACCAACCCTCTCAGTCACTCTGGGTTCACACTACCCCGACCCACTTCTGTGGAGGTGGCCTGGCCTCCTTGGCCAGTTTGAGCACATTAAACCCTTCTGCCCCATCCTGTTGAGAAATGTACTATCCTGAAGTCCCTTCATATGTTTCTGGGTGTCCACATCCCAGACTTCACTGGGAAGACGCTGAAGGCTGAATCCAAGTGGTGCAGTTCTCAACCCTCCACACACTCTCCCAGAACCCAGAACAGTGTCATAGGAATCTGAAATCCTTGGTGGGCCCTTTCTTCTTGTCCCCTCCTTAGTCTATCCATACAGTAGTGTGTGTGACCATTTATAAAGCTTAAGTCAGACCATATTTCTGGTTCTGTTATGAACTTTCTTTATGGTCTCCCAACTTGTCCAAAGAAAAACCCAAGTCCTCAATATGCAATATACAACCTTCTTCCCCTCTCCCAGTGCTTCTCTGACCTCACCTCCTGCTGTTCTCCACAGGCACTCAGCCTCAGCCACTCTGGCTTCCTGCTTGTTCTTCAGGCATGCCAGATATAGTCCTGGCTTGGCGCCTTTGCATCTGCGGCTCTCTTTCTGAAATATGCTTCCCCTAGCTATGCCCCTAGCTTGCTCCTTCGCTTCCTTCAGATCTCTGCTCAGTAAGTATCTTCAAAGTGAAGCCTCCCTTGATTACCTGATATAAAATTGCAAATGTCCTCCTCCCAAAACTATCCCTGTTCTGTTTTTTTCTTTTCACCATAGCAGGTGTTGCCATCTAACAGACTGGGTTTTTTTGCTTGTTTGTTTTTTATTTTTAATTTTTTTCGTAGTTGTAGATAGCATGCCTTTATTTTGTTTGTTTTTATGTGGTGCTAGGGACCAAACCCAGTGCCTTACACATGCTAGGCAGGCACTCTGCCATGGAGCTATGATCCCAGCCCCTAACATACTGTTGTTGTTGTTCTTCTTCTTCTTCTTTTTAATATTTTTTTAGTTGTCAATGGATATTATTTATTTATTTATATCTGGTGCTGAGAATTGAACCCAGCACCTCATGTATGCTAGGCAAGTAAGTGTTCCACCACTGAGCCACAACCTGAGCCCACATACTGTTCTTTTTTTTTTTTTTTAATATTTATTTTTTAGTTTTCGGCAGACACAACATCTTTGTTTGTATGTGGTGCTGAGGATCGAATCCGGGCCGCACGCATGCTAGGCGAGCGTGCTACCGCTTGAGCCACATCCCCAGCCCAGCCACATCCCCAGCCCCCACATACTGTTCTTTATAGTTGATATACATCTCCCCTTGCTAGAATGTGACCTTACGAGGGTGAACCCCTCACCCATTTTATAGGACACCATTTGTAGGACACTGTGGGTGTTCAGAAAATATTTGCTGAATAAGTGAACGTAAGGGACCCATGCTCAGCCCAGTCTCTTATATTCACTTGCTGGAAGACTTTAGGTGATCTCCTCCCCAAGCCCAGGCTGTTTCCACATGGGTAACACAGGAAAGGGCATGTGTGTGTGTGTGTGTGTGTGTATCTTTGAAGACCCATGCAGCTCTGCTAAGTGTGATGGAGAAGTTGTCTTAAGGTAAATGTCAGGAGACCTGGGTAAATTAGGTGTTTGCTGCCCCCTTGTGATGAAGCTGACTCTTCTCCAGTACCATTGAAGCTATGCTTCCTGTAACTCCCAACTGTGCTGGAGAAATATGTGTTAGGAGGGCACCCTCACCCCCACCCCCTGTTCCCTCAGAGACATACTTTCTGCTGTCCCACTGTTGCTGTCCCATCCTGGCCTCAGTATTCAAGACCTATGCAGGTATTTGGTGTTTTTCACACCAATCACCCTTCGTGTAATTGAAACCTTATTATGTGAATTTTGCATCCCACCCCATTCCTATGTTGAAGTCATAATCTCCAGTACTGTATTTGGAGACAAAGGGAGATCTGAAGACACATGGAGATGATGATTATTGATAAGCCAAGGCAAAAGGCCTCAGAAGAAACCAACTCTGCAAACAGCTTGACCTTGAACTTCCAGCCTTCAGAGTTGTGTGAAAATAAACACGTTAAGCCACTTACTCTGTGGAACTTTATTGGGGCAACTCTAGAAAACTGATACACCTGGAACTCACAGGTTGTCTGTTGTAGCTCAACCCCAGAAACACCAAGTGGGGCCAGGTATTCCCATTCTAGAGGATTGAGGATCAAGGAAGGAGACAATCATTGCCACCCAAAGTTGTCACTCTGGGAAGCTCAGAAGCTCAATCTGCCTGGCTGCTCTGAATCCCAGAACCTGGCCAGAGCTCCTTTTTGTACCTAGCCTGCATGTCTTCTCGATGTCTTGAAAGGCATATTTATAGGCTCCTACCCTGCTTCTCTTCCTGTTCTGGCTCATACTGACCTGCAACTGCTTAAATCTGACCCTTTGCTGGCTTCACGTTTGGGGGCTACCCTGTGTTCTGTGGCTAAGCTTCTGCCTCTTTGCTTAGCAACACTAGCTCCTACTCCTCAGTCTGCTCTGGACCCAGCTTCTATACCTGGGTCTTGCAGTTCTATATCAACCCTATACCTGACTGCTACCTTACCATCAGAGAGCCTTAAGGGAAGCCGTTTTACACTTCTGCATTTCCTTTACTATAAATTGTGTTGGGTAGTTTTGAAGGGTGTGGGACTTGTCCTTAATTCCTCCACCTCTGATAAAGTGACCTCAAGATGGTCTTCTAGAAATAAGATATTTTTAAGATGATAAAATTTTCTTTTTATCATTTCTTTTTTATAAGTGGAATCATAAAGAATATCTGTTCTTCTGTGACTACCTTATTTCGCTTAGTATATCAGAAATTCCTTCTTTGTATGGCTGAATAGTATCCATTGTATGTATAAACTGAGTTGGTTTATCTATTCATCTGTTGCTGGACATTTGAGTTGTTTCCATCTTTTGGTTATAGTAAATAACGCTGCCATGAATATTGGTGTGCTTTTTTTCTTTCCTCTTTGCTCTATGTCCAGCTGGCATGAAGGTAGGCTCTTGACTGAGTGTTGAAAGGCTCTGGTTTCACTGCAAAGGAGACCTGGACCCTGCTTTGGAGTTGAAGCCTGCCTTATGAGTCCACATCTTACATTCATGGTCTGCTCCACATTTCCTCTGAAGGTATCCGTCTCCAGCTTCACAGACCTGAACCCGACCATGTCAAACAGGACGGCAGCCACCAGCTACATAGGCTAGGGACTTGGAAATTATCTTTTGACATCCTCCTTCCCCTTAAATCCATCCACGCCTAGTTCTAATCATTTTATCGCCAAAATAGTCCTCACATGTTTTTCAAAGTGGGCACAAAGTTTCTCTGCCCACTGTTTACCTCCCCTAACTACAGCCACCATCACTTCTCTCCTGGAAGACAACAAAAGGCTTCCACTTTGCACTATCTGCAAACCATTCTCTATTTATTTCTAAAACTAGGTAGTATATACATAGGATTTAAAAATTTCTGCCCTACAGGTCGCCTTTCTGAGACAAGAGCCCTTCCGGAGTCTGGGAGCTCCTAGGTCCTCTTAAGTCCACTCTTTTCCTTTTACCACAAGAGGAAGTGTTGTTCTCTCAGGCAGTGCCAGGCCTTCCAAGTGGGGCTAAATACGCCAGTCTCCACTCGGTGCGTCCTCCGAGGACTTGGAATGGCCCGGAAGCCTCCCTCGCACCGCCTTGAGGGATGTTTTCTGTTACTCCTCTCGCGCAGCCCGCCGCGCACCAACTTCAAACAGCCCCAGCCCCAGTCCTCCGCGGCCTTCGAGGATACTGGGAATGTAAATTCCCAGTGAAATCTCTAACTGGCCCATACTAAGCACTGAGTGGGCAGGACCTCGCCGCTTAGCGGACAGAAACCACCACTCCCAGAAACCCTTTTCCTTCGGCGGAATTTCCCCTCCCGACTTCCTCCACGCGAAGGCAACCGAGCATGCGCAATCGGAGACCACCTGGGTAAAAGGCGGCGCGGGGCGGACTGCGCCTCCCAGCAGGCCGTGGGGTAGTGTGCGTCTCCGCGTGACGAGCGACTTCCGGCGCGGAGGGGCGGGGCCGTGCGCGCGGTTGAACCCGCAACTAAGCGGCGAAGGGAGCGGCCAGTGGCCGCAGGGCGCTGTCGCCATGGAGGCTGTGCCCCGCATGCCCATGATCTGGCTGGACTTGAAGGAGGCCGGGGACTTCCTCTTCCAGCCAGCCGTGAAGAAGGTGAGCGTTCCTCCCACCTTTCCCTGTCCGCCGCTGATCTCAGTCGTCTGGCAGCGCATGACGCCCCCTGTGCGCCGTCCCTGTGAAGCCCTGTCGCAGGCCGGCTTTCCTCCGCCTCGCCCACTCCTGCGCTCGCGGACAGTCCTTCCCTTTCTTGCTTGTCCTCGCAAGCAAGCTCCCGCATCCTTGCCGGAACCGCTTCCCTACTTCTGCCCCGGGCCACCCTGCAGTCCCACGGAGGCTCCACTTCCTAAGGGCGACGTGCTAACCCAGTACTGCCCCGCCCGTTTCCACGGCAGGACCGCCCCACTGGGAGCGGTAGGCAGCCCAGACCGTGCAAGTTCTGCTGCTCGGCTGGCCCTTGGTGGGCTCTTCACCCACGACCCCACTGGACAGATGCTGAGGATGGCACAGGATGTGTGTTGCGTATCGCAACCCCCGGTGGCCTATAGAGATGCTCAGCCCCTGACGCTGACTACAATTCTGCATGGTCTCTTCACAAGAAGAATCTTATTCGAAAACCTTTTTGAACCTAAACACACAATTTTTGCCGTTTTTAGGAGGGCTACCGCTTTTCAAAACTGCCGGGACAACATGTTGTGTTGTAGCTCTCAGAGAGACCTTACTAGTCATTGTGTTGAACAGAGGAGACGGGTTTGATGTTGACCGAGGCAAGGGGCTTCTTTGTGAGAGATTGAGTGGTGATTGAACTAGCTGCTGCTTTAGGACAGGCTGCCCCGTGGCATTGAGGGCCAGAGTAGAAGTTAAAAGGAACAACCTGGAGGTTGCTGCAGGTGGGAGGCCTTGGGGTTTTTAGCTGCTGGAGTAAGCAGCAGACAACACTTGGAGAAAGAACTAGGAGAGAGAAAGTGAGTTTGGAAGTAGTTTCCCAAGAAACTGTCTCCCATCTTCTTTTCATGATACCACTGCCTTAGTTCAGGCACTGTTAGTTTGCATTCCTTTTTTTTTTTCCTCCTTGGCTGGAGATGGAACCCAGGGTCCTCATGCATGCTTGGCAAGTGCTCTACCATTGAACTACACTCCCAAGCTGTAAAACCAGGAAATTAGATAAACCGATCTAAAATTCCGGAATTTTGTTAACACTTTCCACATCTGCTTTTTTTTTTTTTTTTTTTGTAAAAACACAACCAGGTGAGTTTTTCTAAAACAGCAAAACTTTTTGTTTTCTAGCTTTACAGAATGAGTCAATTATTATTACTATTATTTTTTTTAGGGTACTGGGGATTGAACCCAGCTCAATCCCAAGTGCTAGGCAAGCACTTTACCACTGAGCTACCCCATATGCCCTTTAAAAACTTTTTATTTTGAGGAGCTGGGGTTGTAGCTCAGTGGTAGAGCACTTGCCTAGCACGTGTGAGGCACTGGGTTCGATCCCCAGTATCACATAAAAATAAATAAAATAAAGGCTTTTTTAAAAAATCCTCTTTAAATTTTTTTAAATTTTGAGTCAGAGTCTCCCTAAATTGTCCAGGCTGGCCTCTAACTTGAGATGCTCCAGCCTCAGCTTCCTGAGTAGTTGGGATTATAGGCATATACTACTGCACTTAGCTAAAGACAATATCTTTGTTTCCCACTGAGAATTCTCCCTAATCTAGTTCACTTCTTTCAGCATTTATCAAAACCCTACTATTGGGCTTGGGTTGTGGTTCAGTGGTAATCTGCTTGCCTTGCATGAGTGGAGCACTGGGTTTGATCCTCAGCAGCACATAAATAAATAAAATAAAATAAAGGTATTGTGTCCATCTACAACTAAAAAACCAAAAATCCAAACCCTACTGTGCCTGATGTATGTGTTTCTGGTACAGGTGTCCCAGATTCTGCTCATAGCCATTTCCTTAACATGCTGTGTGTCCTGTTATATACTTTTGGTCATGAAATTCCTCCTCCTAGAGCTCTCAATTTTGCCTTGTAATGTGGTGGTAGCGTCCTTCTTTAATGGTGTATACTCGTTCTATCTTTAAGGTCCAGTATGAGCTCTCTCCCTTAATCCTTTCATCTGGATTAGTCTTCCCTGAGTGGAATACTCTGAATTCCACTCTGTTTCTTTCCTTGATGACAGTAATATGTGTTGTTTTAACAACTCCTCTTCAGTTGGAATCTCTAAACAGTATCTCCATGTTCCTCATAACCTAGCAGAATACCTTCTACGTAGTTGGCAGTCAGGAAAGTATTTCTCAAATAACTGAATGACAGTCAAGAGGGAACTTAAATTAGATTTTAATTATGGCAACCCTAGCTATATAGAAATTCAGTGGATTTCTCAGCCCAGAAACTCGTGGGAGATGTTTTTGTTTTAACTTTTTTTTTTATTGGTCAATCTTGTGAAGTCAGTAAGATACTGTGAGCAGTGACTTTCCTGAGAGCACCTGGGCCCCTGTGAAGGGAACTGCTCAAGAAATAATTGTTTCCCTAGACATGGGACTCCTCCCTTCTGCAGAAGCCAGTGTAACCTGGGAACTCTTCTTTCCCTAACTCTAGAGCCCCTTCTCTACATTCTGCCACTGGTCCCCTTGTCTTTCTCTATTTTTTTTGCTCAGAGCTGGGGGAAATAATTTAATTTAGAATAGTAAAGTTAAAAATTGATTCTGTTTATGTCAGCCTCTCAAGAACTATGCCAAGTCCTGGTGATTGCAGACAAATGAATCTATCTTTTCCCCCATGGAATTCATAGTCTGGTAGGGAAAATTTAAAAATTAGCGCAATGACATTAGTATAAGAGAAGTATTTGCAGTGTACCAAAGTACTGATCTAAGGAGGGGCTGTCGGGACGTTTGCTAGAAGTGGATTCTAAAGGACGAATAGGAGTTTCTAGACAGTTTCATTGTGAGGGCTAGGTTTTTGACAAAACCTTTCATGGTGGTTAGTATTGTTAAGTATAGTTTGTGGGAAGACATACATTTGGACTGGGTCCAAAAGACCAAACTAGTATAAAGTTTAATCACAGTCACTGGGTTTAATCACTGTCACTTGGTTGGTTTCAGGAAGCCCTGTAACCACTTAATTAGACTAAACAACCAACTAGTTAAGCTGTAACCAGTTGACTGATTGATAGACTAAGCTGTAGTCAATTAAGTTGTTTTCTGTGTCTCATTGTTTTTATATAAATTTTGTCAGATGATGTTGGTTGGAATTCTGTGAACCTACACTGGTTGGAGGACTGCCTGATTTGCAAATTGTTGTTGTATTCTTGCTTTTACTCAGATAACTCCATTAAATTAAACTTGGGAAGGATTTATCTTTTTTTTATATATATTTATTTTTTAGTTTTTTGGTGGACACAACATCTTTATTTTATTTTTATGTGGTGCTGAGGATTGAACCCAGTGCCCCACGCATGCCAGGCGAGTGCGTTACTGCTTGAGCCACATCCCCGGCCCCAGGATTTATCTTTTAACAATATTGATTTTTTTTCATTTCCAATGGGCGTGCCTCCATTTATAGAATAATGGGAAATAGGAGTTAAAAGAGCAAATTGGTTTTGAACTGCAGTGCTAAACTTTAGTTTGATATACCTGGACCCAAGTGATTTTTTAGTGAAGAAGTGCTGCTGGCTTTGCACTTCTATTTTTTCATTTTTGGTGCTGGGGGTTGAACCCAGGCCCTTGTGGATGCCAGGCAAACATTCTACTAGTGAGCCATGTCCCCCAGTCCACCCTGCGCCTTCTTTTTTTATATTTATTTATTCATTTATTTTAGTTGTAGTTGGACACAATACCTTTATTTACTTATTTTTATGTGTTGCTGAGGATCGAACCCAGGGCCTCACATGTGCTAGGCGAGCACTCTACCGCTGAGCTACAAATGCAGCCCTGTGCCTTCTTACTTGCACTTTAGAGATCTTGCTGACTCACTGGAAACAGAAGAAGGATGACTTCTGCTCTTTATCAGTGAATGATTTGGTCACAAGTGTTCGCGTTTAAAGATTTTTCTTTCTTTCCCAAACACTTGCCCTGAACCAATAGCACTTGAGCTCAAGTCAGGCTCTCTTGAACTGAAATGATGCATCCATCCCTGCCTCTTATATTGAACAAATAGTTATTAAGTGCCTGTTATGTGCCACCCTTGGGAATATGGTTGATGACAAAAATCTCTGCATTCCTGGAGCTTACCTTCTAGCCATCCAAGTAGTAATCCATCAAGTGTGGGTTGGTAGCCTCTTTGCCTTTCCTTTGGCTTCTCTTGCACCTCTTCCCACTTGGATTGAATTGATCTGTAAATCTCCATTTTCCTCCTAGAGTCCTCCAGAGAAATTGCCTGCCTTTCAGGCCTGTCAGCTGCTTGCTGAGCTTGCCTCTATGACTTGACTTCACCAAGCCACTCCAATGGGAACTTTCAGCCACACTTTCTTCCACATCTGATCGTTGTCCTTACTTGGGTCTTTACTGGAATTTGTTTGCTTCTGCTTATCATGTAGGTTGAAGCATATCTCATTAGGATCCCTTTGGCTGCCTGGCAGTTGAACTACCCTTCCCTGAATTCATTCAGGTCTTCACTGTCTGATCACTCAGTTGACTTCCAACACAGACTGCACACACTTGTTGGCTCTTCTTACTACTGTTCGTCTTATTTACATCTCGATAGAGCCTGGTTTTTCTGGTTTGTGGAAGTCCCTTACTCCCTGCCTTCCAGATTTCCCATGGGATAGCTAACACTTTAAAAAAAAGAAAAAAGCTTATATGTACACACACAGAGAAAGTTAAATGAGAGGATCAAAGGCCTAAAAGGCCTCTGGGTACTTGGCAATGAGGGTATTGGACATTGTTACCTGTGGTTTGACCTGTATTAATTTCTTATCACAGATTTGGAGTCACCCAGCTGGTCTGCCTGAACTTGTCTTTCCCTCTTGTGTTTTACAGCAGAGTGGCTCTAGGCGCAGATGACCTGGATTGTCTACTTTATTCTCTGACTTTTATCTCATACTCCAAGGGCCTGTATCTATTTCACTTAGGATTCTTCCTTTACTTGGGAAGTAATAAATA